ANANANNANANNANAANAGTCATTTTCTGGCCTNTCTTTGAGAAATTTTGCANATATAAAATTTTGCATAACCTATTCACAGGAACATAATAACATCTTTGCTTTTANTTGATACTTATATGAGGAAAATCGGCAGAACGGAAACGCAATGGAAGTCNCAAATGCATGATATATGTGTTCACACGTAATTTTATTGAAACTAATTTTATAGTCAAATCAATTAAGGAGACGTTAAAAGTAATACAAAACATCTAGTGCAAATACAATTTTTATTTTATCTTCTTTAATAACTATCTTCTTTTAGAACAAACATTATAGATTATAACTTATCACGTAACAGTTTGCAACTACTACTTATTAAGTAACTTTATATTTATATTTGCATATCATTGAACAATATTACATAATATAAATTGTTCTCTTATTGTTATCGATTTCTATACTTAGATACTGTGCGTTTAGTTAGCAATGTGTATATTCATATATTTATGTGTGCTGTACATAAATATACATATACATAGTCAATGGCGTGTATATAAGTATTACATCTTAATGACAAAACGTATTCATTTTTAAGTAACTCTCTCTCTCTCCTTATTACATTAAATTAGTATTACAGTAAATTATTATATTAAAATCCAAAAAAAGTATTTCCGATTTTAATTATAACCAGCAAGTTTTGTTATCATAAATTATAACTTGTTTAAACAAAAGAAACTTACAATTAAAGATACATTTAACTGGTAAATTCTTTTAATTAAAATCGTTTGTTTACATGCAAAAAAATCATAAAAAAGAAACTTTATATTTTCATGTGTTTATAATTAAAAATATACTGGGGTCTATCACGGATTATAGGTTGCATTTTACTTAAGAAATTACGACGATATTCAACTTTTTCTTTAATGGCATCGAGAACATATGGTTCCTAAAACAGATTACAAAATGTATTTCTTACAAAATTTTATACACTTGTGCATAACTGTGCTTAAGCCAACCCGAAATATACTTTTAATAACAAAATATACTTTTAATTAAAAAAATAAAAAAACTACTAGTTTACATATATACAATAGGCTATATCTGAAAAAAAACAGAAAAAATGTAACGCACAATTCCAAAAAAATATTAAATATAATATTTTATGTATAATGCCTTCAATTTTAATGTTTTAAATTAGAATAATACTTTATATAATTTATAAATACATTTACCATGTAATGTATATCCGACAGTTTATTTAAAAACACTTCGTTAGTAATCTGAAAAAATCATGTGCTTTTATCACTTAGTGTGACTTACTTACATTGTTTAACAACATTCACTTCTTATATGTTTCTTATATCACAAGAATTGCGAATATAAAATCCACAACAAACACATTTTTAGCCGTTTAATACATACGTTTATCTACATATATATAATATAAACAAATTTTGTTTTACATATTTATCTACAAGAAGTAAGTAAGATCATATATCATACCATCGACAGGTCGTCATCGGAATATATGTTGTTAATAATACAATTTATTATTGCCAGTATGTTCACGTCTCTATCAAAACAAAATAAAAGATGTAGAATTAATAAAGTTACTAATACATTATATATAAGAATGTGAAACAACAATGTTTGATCCGAAACATAAAAGGTAATGTAAAAAATATACACATTATGTAAAGTAACTATTAGTATNAAATATATTGTATAACAATTTATATAAACTGTTTTACTGTACTAAAATTCTTATACACATTTACAACAATCTTTTTACCTTCCTATTCCAAGTTCTAGTCCGAATTGTATACTATCTAGCCCTGAATAATTTTTCGAATGCAAAGCAAAAATAGTGAAAAGTAAAGAAACAGTAACACTTTTCTTTGCATTTACAATATTTTCAGTATTACTAATTTTGGCACGTAAACTACTTCCAGGTCTTGGTAACGAATTACGATCAAGAAAAGACATCAAATTATACATATACTCGTATTTTTTACAGCAAGGTAAAAATTCAAAGAAATCTTCTTCTTTTCCTTGTGTCTGGTATATGTTGAAAATTTTTTGCCACAAAGCAGATTTATCATAAGTGACAGTTTCTACCATTAATCCTTGGCAATATATCCATTTCTGCCAACTTGGCAAAAGTCTGCAAGTAAAAAACCATATTATTTTCCTTAAACATATACTTATAACACTATTTACAAACATATACACAAACTAGTTACAAACTAATTCATTAATGCTATACCACAGATTTTCTTTTTAAGTGTAAAACTGTAATAACTCACATATCACACGCAATTACATGAAAAATAAGTAGCAAGATGAAGTCTTTGTAACATTAACAAACGTCATCTCGCTACTGAGAAAGTAGAATACTGTACTTGTTTTGTGCAGAATTTTTAAAATGCCATTCTAATATTCCAGTAACATATTCTTTGCACTTTAAACCACCGAGAATGCATGTCCATTTTAAAACTTCATGATAGAATTGATTAATGACACTATTCTCCGACCAATGTGTATATGATATATTATCAAGAAACCTATTCAATATTACCAAAAGTTTATCCTATAAAAGCAAAATATGTTTTTTATTGTAACATAGTGGAAATGCTTAAGGTTCCTTAATATTTAATTATTTAACGATAGTTTTGTATTACTTATTGCTTCATATCTAAGAAATTCTATATTATACTAGTTGTAGGAGAAACACATATTATTATATGCCACCTGTATTTAATGTTTTCTAAATTATATGTATGTTCGTAAAGAATACAGAATTATTCATTTTTTCATTTAGTATTTCTATCGATTGCTTATACTACTTTTTTTAAAACTTCTTGTTAACCACAAATATCAACTATTATTTGTTGTTCTACAGCACACGTACATCATATTTTCTGAACTGTCAAAACTATAAATATTCTAGTGTAGTACATCATCTCATGTAAACAATACATTTTTATATACATTTATAAACATAGTTGTAACTGAAGAAATTACAGAGCTTTTTTTGTAGGTTATTTATGAACAAAAGTAGACTGAGTACTAAGAATATAAAGTTCGAAAAAATGTTAAAAAATTCTTTATTTTTCGAAGAAACTTGTAAATTTTTAGATTTACTTTCCGCAATATTTTGAGAAGGTGCAATGTGCAAGTATTAAGTAGAGGAAAAATTCTCTGAACACTTTACTAATTTTTTTTTTTATGCAGTTTTATGTGGGCTTTTGATTGAACATACTTCTACCTAAAAATACCGTATACCAAAAGTGAAGATTTTGTCGTCCACTACACGACTTCCTTTTATTCATGCATTTTATCAGATGTGATTTACGAGAACGACCGTTGACAACGACATTAACTTAATAATTTTGTGACTACTTGCATATTACTGTACTATATTGATATTATATGATTTTTGTGAATTACTTTTACATAAAGTGTGAATATTGTTAAGAGATTGTATGTATTATTTTTTCAACTATAATGATATGCTTGTCTAACTTTAGTTTTTTATGATTCCAACGTTTTATGTCCTCTCTAATATTGTAGATAGTACAACGTGCTAGTTATATTTTATTATGTAAATATATTCTAATACATATTATTTTAGTATATTTATTCTACTGTATATATTTTTTATGTTATCAACTAAAGTAGTAATAGTGCGTAATATTTATAGAAACGTTCCGTAGTGGATATATATCTTATAAATAAGTTAATACATTTTTTAACATGTGATTAATGATGACCTATCAATTATTTAACTTCTTAGTGTACTGTAATCTTATTTACCTTGATATTTCTGGAAAGAACACTTTCTGGAAACGGAAAAATCTTTGACATATTTTCAAAAGCAAAAAATACAGGATACCACATTATGTAGGAATTGTGTACACGAAATATATTGCTTGCAATTTCAAGATATATGTCTAGATCACTATTATCTGAAGTAGAATTATCGTTATATTCTGTAGTTTGCACCAAAAAATAAAAAGCATCGTCTAATACTTGTGCAAAAGTGACGTAAAATAAATAAGTAATCTTCAGATCTACATTTTTTAAGTAAAGAGCAATATGCTTCCAAGATTCACGGTCATAGTTGACACGATTTCCTACAACAAATAAAGTTTTAAAAAAAGTAATGAAGAAAAACGAAGGAAAAGAAACAATTAATCTATAAAACAAGTGAACACTTTTAATAAACTATATGTATAATAAAGATAAACTTGATCATTCACATGTATGTTATTACATTACCAGCAGAGTTCGCGACAATGACAAACTCAGTTTTATTAAGAAGCGAAAAATAAATATATTTTTGGTATGGTGTTAGGACATCATTATACGTGACAGTACTTTCTGTATTTTGTATTTTTGTAATAGTCAAAGGTATCCACCAAGTTAGTTCGTTTTGCTCTTTGTGATCAACAGTAAAACAGTCTACGACAGATATTGCTACCTGTGTATCACTGAGTCGTTTTACTTGTAACACAGGATAACCAACTTGTGTTGTGTATGAAGTTATTATGCTTTTGATCTCTGTTGTATGATATACAGACTTATATACAAAGGACGTTGTAACATTTGTGTACCATAACTTATCGAGAAGTGGCAATTCCTTATATATGTTATCTGATGTAGTATCACTGACAACAGATATCGTAATAAAAAGTATTATGGTGATGTTTGTCATAAATCTCAAACAAATATATTTAATGATTGTGCTGATGACTGTAACAGTCATTAGAAAATAAATAGTGTAAACGACAATTAATTAAAAACTGTCGAACTACTTTGCACTTTAGTGAATTGTAAATACTTACGTGTTATAATATAAATTTACGGCGTTGTTAAACAAAGAAGTATATAAGAAATCGTGTTCAAATAAGGTACTAAGCATATCAAAGGTGCCGAATGCTACAACATAATTTATAGTGTTACGATTTTCAAAGTTTATTCACAAAAATAAGTATAGTAGTATCTACATAATAGCAAAGAATAAAGTTATACAATAGTGTTACTATTTTACACACATATAAAAATGTGTAAATGTACTTTTATATTGATCTTTGAAAAGTGCCTACAATATATACGATGAAGATAACAATGACTATTTGACTTTTTATAATATGATCTAAAGATATGTACCACTATCCCACAGTAATTTATGTATTATTTTGCAAACGTTTCAGCAATTAAATAAACTTAAGAAATATATTTCTCTTACCCTTTTCTCGCCACATTTTTCTAACAGTTAAATTTCGAGCTGTAAAAGACTTTTCTTTAATTAGAAAATCATATGTACTAAATGCCTCTGCATAATCCAAAACGTTTCGTCGTGTCTGAACCACAAATGATTTCATTAAAAACTATAACAGGTTTAATAAGTATAGGAAAATATAAGTATAGAGTGAAAGAATCTAATATAATAGTGCATTAAAGATTTACTCATATAAATCTTGATGATATTTTTCAACAAAAAGATAACACAAATACAATAAATTAGTAATACCACAATGATAAAAAAAACATATCTGTTGATTATTTTCTACACATTCACATAATCATTCGTTTATATGCTTTTCTAATATATTATACTGCGTATCTATTTAATATAATTTACACAATTATAAATAGTATCACAGTTACTGAAACCGTTTCAAACTATGTCTAAAAATATAACACTTTTTTAATAAACAAAAATATATTATACTTGTTTTTACATATGACATATATATTTATGCACAACGATCTACAATCAAAATATTTATGCACTATAATAACCTTGTTCCAAATATAAACTCCATATACGGTTAAAAATCCTTCGATAAACCAAGAATCCGACTGTTTAAATGTAGCTACCCACTCACTGAACATTTCTTGTATCACACTTCGTGCTAAGAAACATGTTACTTCTCTTTGTTTAATAATCGAATCTACTTCGCTGTTGTATATACTGTTAACTTCACTAAAAATAAAAATAAGTGTTACTGTGCAAGAGTACATTCTTCTCGTAGTTTTACACACTTTTTTTAAAAAGAAGTGTAATTTTGTGTCGTGAGTTATGCATCTCACCTCAAAAAAACAAATCCAGGAGTTATCATACTTTCGTAACCAGTAGAAATCATTGGAAGTAGAACGTAAAAAACATGTAACCGTGGTATGACATCGTCCAACAAGTTTCTGAGAAGTTTAACAAAATCAAGAAGAAAAGTTCGTGCATAGTATGTATTATTTCTCATCTTTAAGCTGCTTATAATTGTAACGTTATTCTCTATTCCCATAATTGTATTATATACATTCGGTATAACAACAAATGCAACCAACTGTGTGGACATTAGAGGTGTGGTGAAAAATGTTGTTTGCATCGCATTTATTACCGAACCACGATATTCAATAGGCATGTTTGAAAGAGCTGTTTCACTGCGTTTGTGTATAATTTGAATGGTAAATCTAGCCTTGGTTGCTGGATGTTCCGAATATGGAAAAATCCATTCATTTGGAACACGCGATAAAATTAGGAATCTATATAATAAAAATATAATATTACGGTGTGATACATAAGTACAATAAATAAATATATTACATTACGTGAAGTGTTGACTTAGTAGTAACACTTTCGCACTCATATTTAAAAAGAACAAACGTAAAGATAATGGAAAAATTGTATTTTACAAAATAAAACGCTTTTCGTAGAAATATTTCTTTTCTAAATGTATTATAATATGACTTTATAAAATTAGTAAATGTAAACGTCATTATATAAAACAGTAGTATTATGTCATGTAACTTAAAAAACTGTATGTAGCAATATTTAAAAAGAAAAATATCTGTTAATTAATATTTTGATCATGTTCTGTAGAAATAAATTTTGCCTATAATAGTCATTGTAGTATAATCATTTCAAAAGTATAAAACTAATAGTATGTAGTATACTAGTTTGTATGTGCACTTACTCTTTCGTTTCAGTTTGACTTATGTACGCGTCAACCGTGACAACCTCCGTTAAATTACATTTATACATCGAAGTTATCACATATTTTCCAGATCTTACGGGTTTTTCCAGTTGTTTAAGTATAAACACGTTTGGAGGAATTTTGTTTTCTTTTATGGGATTAATATCCACATTTTTGAATCGATTTTTGATAGT